AAAAAAAAAAAAAAAAAAAAAAAAAAAAAAAAAAAAAAAAAAAACTGAAGAATACCCTCGTTACCATTCTTCTGTACGATATGCACATATGCATACAGTAATTTGTCCAGTATGCACATGTGCATACAAACCAAGAAATTGCTTCAATTACATGTGTATATAGTTTAGATAAACAGTTACCAGGGTGATCCTTAGTTTTTCAATTTTTTTGGGACTTTTCCCCTGAACCTCCCTCTATAAGGACAAGTATTTTCTTCTCATTGTTTCATTTACTAAAGAAGTGGCATACCCCTGTAAATACAGTTATTGCATTATCAAGCTTAGTCCCATCTTTTGGATATGATTCACGCCATCTTTGCCAGATACCCCTCACACTAAACTTCGGCATGAATTCAACCTTCAACAACATACATATAGAAACTGAGAACTGCTGCTGCTATTAGAACTTGACTCTCAACTGCCAATAACACAAATGTAATTGCTCACCGTGGAACCCGCATAAAGAGGAGCAAACAACGCGTTGAATAGCCCATGAACATGTATAGATGAAGTTAAGGATTGACGAAAAAATGTGATACGTCTACTTTCTCCAAAATATCATAAACCATGGAAGAAAAAGAACATAACCAACAAGTATAACATCCAACACTCATATTTTTGCAGTTAATTTATGGATATGGTGTAATGGTAGGCAATGCAGAAAACAATCACTTGATGTGTACTCCCAAGCTGTTGTTAAGGTTTTCACCTGAAATATAGCAGAAAAATAACAATTACAACACTTGAGAACTGACAGAGAACAACAATATAGGACAGAATGACACCCATGACGAATATATGACTTATGAGCAAGTGCAAAGGCTAATAAAGAATAGACAATATATTTCGTTTTTTTTTTTCATTTTCCAAGTGTTTTCTCTAAAAAAATATAGTGCCCACAAACTTACCTGTGCTAAAATACTACTATGTGTATGAACAACTCCTTTAGGTTTCCCGGTTGTACCACTAGTATACAAAATCAATGCTGGGTCACTTTCTGTACAAAAAAACAAAAGATATAGGAATTCAATAAAATAATTTGATATCTGGTAATATAGAATATGAAATTATGATATTTAATAGAACGGGTAAGCACCTTTTACTTTATTTGAGAACTGAATCTCTTTCTGATGTACACCATCATTGGCATCGGTACTTTCATGATCTGCTGCTTGCGAAGTCATGCTAGGAACATGAGGTATCAAAGCAAATTGGGCCGCAGTTTTAGCTGCAATTTTTTGCATAAGCTCGCTGTGATCCTCAGTACTCAAAATCATCGATACATCCTATGAGAGTCAAATAAGCATTAGGTTATTATTGGGAGAATAAAATTGTACTCTGAAAGGCTAGGGAAACCACATGGCTGTCTAAATACAAGATTAGAAATATACATGCTTAACAACCGAAGGAAACTAGCAAGTTTAAGACCTCATGGCTACCCAAATACAAGCAGAAGCTGTATTAAATATTAATAACCCACAGACAAATTTGAAAGTTAGGGTCAGGGGAAAACTGCAAAAAATTGAAAAACTGAGGAACACCCTAGTAACAATTAATTTGTACAGTATGCACATGTGCATACAAGTAATTTTTCCAGTATGCACATATGCATAACATGCACACGTGCATAGAAACCAGAAAACATCTTCAGTCACGTGTATGCACATGTGTATACCATACAGATGAACAGTTATTAGGGTGTTCCTCTGTTTTTCATTCTTTTGGGTTTTCCCCTGAACCTCGCTCTTGAAAGTCAATACAAACTCGATGCAACGTAGGCATCTCAAACTCCAAGCATAAACAGTATGTTATTGAACTAGGAAAAAAGAGTCATCAAAACTTAAAATGTACTTCCGTCCAGAAATAAGTATTCGCATTTCTATTTTACTTTATCCAAAATAAGTGTCTACTTTCAAAAGTAAGTGCCTATTTTTGCAATTCTACGCTTAATTATGAGATGGAGAAATTCATAACCCCTCTATTATTAAGGGTAAAATTTTCATTTAGTTAATAAAAAAGTGTAAAAATTACACATTCAAAAGTTGTGTGCCTTTTTCATCATGGACATTTATTTTTGGGACGGAGGGAGTAAAAAACTAGAAAAACGACAGGAAAGTAGTTGTTTTTGGAGCAAACCGAGTCAGTCATAACATGCAAGAGCTCAGCTTCCGGGTAGCTGAGTGCAAGTGGTACTGCTACACCTCCACTCAACCATATCGCAAGAACTCCGGCAACAAATTCAGCAGAAGGTTTAGCCACAACTCCTATTCTAGCACCATTGAGACTCCTATTCTCTGTGGTCCAATCAACCTGCAAAAGATAAATAGGTAAGGTCTCAACTAGTGGTAACAAAGTAACAGTAGTTTAGAGAGCTATAAGATAGGGAAATTGACTGAAATAGCCATTTCCCACGAAACAATTCACCTCTTAGCCCATGACTCTCACCAAAACATTACTACCTCCACAAGTGTCTGAGCCACAATTTGCGGAGGGACCAATTTTTCATAAAAAAAAATCTTGAGTTTGAGTCACATGGCCCATTAATAAATTGACACATGGCCCACTTCCTGGAAAAGAAGACTTGAGATGAACACCTCTGCAAGTAATATGTTGAGACCTCTGCACGTTGTGTGCCCTTCTTCGCAAGTTTGGAACTTTATTGGCACTTGAGTTGAGTTTTTTTTTTAAAATGCCCCCTCCACAAGCTGAGGAATGGTTACTTGCGGAGGTAGTGACTTTGTTGAAAATGTGGAAGAGAAATGGCTACGAGATGAACTTGGTCGGCTTCGCCGACACTAATTTTGTTAATTTCCTTATAAGATATCATTCAAATCCCAGAATGACTTTCCATATTTGATGAGATATATTACTCCACCATTTTAAACTTACAATCTTTTGTTCACAACCAGATAGCATAAGCGATATTCTTCGAGCAGAAGAAACTAAATGATTGTAGCCATAACTTTTGTCATCAGCTTTGAGAGCAACACTTTCAAGAGATGCAGATCCCTGACTTGCAATTGCTTTGACAACCTCCATGAACGTTCTACAACCTGAAGCTATGAAATTTCACCAAAATTAAAAAGGAAAAAAGAAAAAGAACTCGTATATCTCTATGATCATATGATGATCAGCAACTATCTTGGTGTGCTGCCCACTGTGATAATATTTAAAGGCCTACTATATAATAGAGAAAGAGCGAGGATCCATTCGTCAAGCTATACATACACTATAGGCCCGTTTGTTAGCAGCTTAATGAGCTTAATGGGACTCACAGCTTATTCGGTCAGTTATATATGACTGTTTGGTAATGGCTTAATGATATAGAAGGTGGCTTATCTAGTAAGCTTTTAGGAGAGAGCTTTATGCAGAAAGCCAAGTTTTTTTCCAAATCTGCCCCTCTCAATTAAAAGAACACGATTCTTCCATCTATGAAAAAGCTCTTCCAAACAAAAACCTTCTCAATCTATACCGACATTAATCCACTCCATACAGGATTTAATGAAAAACTAACCAAACAACCCCTATATATTATATAGGAAGGGTGTATCTGTTTTCAGAGTTCTAGTAACTAATGTTTCGAGCAGAAACTCAAACCAGTACCATATTTATTGAAGGTTGATGATAAGATCCCCATGACATAAGCAGTTAGCTCTCTCATTGTCCACTACAATGGAATTGCATACACAAAATTTCTTTATATACAATTTGCAAAGGGTGTATTAGGTTCACGATAGTCGAATCCTATTCACTGTTATTGACTAGGCCCTGTTGGTGCTCAATAAACCTCTAATTTGTTAAGATCTTTGTTAGTCGTAATATAAGTGTGCTTGTTTGACACACCTATTAATTGCTTGACTTCATTTAGCAATCAAGATCTTCGGGCTTAATCCAAGAGATCTTCTTATTAAAAAAGTTTGTGAAAAACCATAAACTATCTTACAAAATCTCAATGCTACCTAATATTAAATTCCAACCAAATTGTTGATTCCCTCTATTGAATTACATTTTGGTACTGAACACATGTTCATTCCGTTGGATCATCAAGCAACTTTCATGATTTCAAATTCAATACTGCTTCATGATCATTCAGCATTCAATCCTAAATGCTCAAAGCAAGGCTATACACATACATCGCAATGCAATGATGGAAAACCACTTCCATCATTCTGTCACATTAAACCTGCGATCTATGTCAAGGTTAATTTCTAATCTACCAAATTATAGTTTGAGAATCCAAGAGGGGCTAATTATATGTTCAGATTGTGTCTGTAAAACTCCATTAATGTAACCATTCAAACATGCAGACACAAAAGATAGTTCACATATCAATCAGTAGTCAAGAAAGAAACAATGTCGATAACCCCTAATGACATTCTATTTATCAATAGTAACTGCTTCAAAGCACGCAATTGTCGAACGACGCAAAATTAAGCTGCATTTCAACCAAGCATTTTGACGAACAGCTGGAGTCCAATTACAAACTTAAACTAAAAAACAGTTCCTCATCTCAAAAACCTAACACTTGAATAGATTACACGTGCAAGAACCAGTGATCATTCAAGAAACGGAAAGACAGGGAAAAGATTCACCTTTTTAGCTTTACAATCATGGAAAATCATAGGGGAAAAGAAGCAACTTACCAGAAACTTGAGGAGATTGAGGGAAGCTAGAAGTGATGACGGAAGTATAGTGGGTGAGGAAGTAACTGCAGGTTTTACGAAGACCGATAATAAATGGGGAGCATCTGTTCATCGCTATTAACGGTGGATGGTGGTTATATTTATGGCGACCCCAGCTGGCAAAGAAGTCGTAAATCAGTAAATTAATGAAGGAAAGAAGGTTGTCCACGGTTCTTTCATCAATTGGTGATCAGTGGGAAGACACAAAGGGTTCTTGATGAAGGGAAGATTAGATCAAATTCAAATTAGACACGTAGCTTATACCAAATTCGAGCGCACAGGGCTCGTGGGTTTTGCCTCGCCTCCATTTCTATGAACTAGTGATGGCCAAAATCCCGTACGACCCGGCTCTAAACGGTCCATGGTCGGAACACTGATGCTCATAACCGGTCCCGGTCTCGGTCATCAAACTCGAGCCCATTTGACTTGATTCATAATCGGTTATGGTAACCGGTTCCTTGTTGGTTATTATGTTGTCATTTGTTGGTTCAACTCGGCATCAAACGACCATATTTGACCTTAAGTGTCAAATATCGGTTGGCTTGAATTGCCCCCGACCTCAACCCCGAGCACGTTTTTTCGGTGTGCCACCTTAAAGTATAATTTCCTTTCGTCGTAATGAGAGTTTGACATTTTGCATTGTGCTTTTATTTTCCCGTTCGTAAGGATCACTAAGGGCCCGTTTATCTAAATGCTTACTGGTAAGTGCTTAACATTAGGAGTCAACACTATAATATACTTTATTGAGTAAGATTGTAATATATCAAAACGTATCCTATACAACAATTTACCCGGTAAGCGCTTACGCGGATAAGAATCGTCACCCTCATTTACCGGATAAAACTCTCAATCCTTATCATCGCTCTTACCGGGTAAGATTCTTGGCCCTTGCCATGTGCATCCGGTGAGAAAAATTACCCGGTAAGTACTTACCGGGTAAGCGTTTAGTAAACGACCCCTAAGTTGTATGAATTCCAAATCTCGGACTTTCGTCCGTGCTCACGAGAACTTGGGCAACTTGTTCGTTTGATGAATCATATTGTTCATCAACCATTTTGTAAGACAAAGAGAGAAAGAAAAGAAAATTGTGAAGTGAAAGTGAGAAATGAATACGAGCCGAAATCACAAAATATAGCGAGAAACTGAGAATGGTGAACTTGTTTTGCATTTTGTAAGTTGGTACACCGTACTCCATGACACTTATATATATTGTTCAGAAAGCCACAAAGACAAAAAAAAAGTCAAAAATCACAAAAAAAACAGCCATATAAACATTCCCAACGGTTAAAAAAACGTCTCTTTTTTTAACTCATCCAACCGGGCATGTCACAAATCCGTCCAAAAGCATAATTGGTCCCGGTCAACAGTCCATCCACCGGGCCGGTCCTTCACGGGTCTCGATTACGGTTCTCCGGCAGCCCCGAGCCAGACTGGTTCGACCATCACTACTATGAACACAACTCTATGAGTTTGAACTTTAGTTTAGGAGAGTGGGATTTTAGCACAATTTCTTTTGGACATATTAAATGAAGGGAATTAATTTTAGAGAAATTTGTGATACAAAATTATAAAAGAACGGTTCAAATAAAAACATTTTATTTAATGAAAATGTGAGAACATCATTTTACTATAGACAATCACACGTTATACCGTAGTCGATCTAGGTTACGGCCCAAGACACTTGCACACTACTAAGTCCTATAACATGTATGTACAACATACATATGTGATAAGAGTGTTTTTGATATAACACTGTAATCTATCACATGTGATACTAAATCAGAAACACATACAATCTTTGGCGTGTTGCAAGACAAGTCATCCGTACACCAGGTCCCCTCACGTATATTATCACATGTGATAAAATTGTTCTCGTATTTTCACAAAACAAAGGTGTTCTCGTTTAAACCTGCACAAATTAATAATTATATCTGCTTAAGTGAGAAAAATCAATTAAACGATTTTAAGTTTTCGATGGATATATTACGATAAAAACATAAATTGAAAAATAAATAATTATCGTCATTTGAATATGAAAAATAAATAATTATTATATTCTCATTTGAATCAGAAAAATAAATAATTATTAAATTCTCATTTGAATCAGAAAAATAAATAATGAATAAGAAAAATAGTATTTAATCACTGTATTTGTTCATCTGTATATTGTATACATCGATTGAGAAATGATATATTGCTTTCATTTTATAAGTGTAAGGATTTATTCGTCCTGAAAATGTTCAGGATCTAATCGCTTAAATATAAAATTCATCTGTGTCTTATTAAGCTCGTTAAGCAAACAAACACCATTTACGTAATGAACCCAGAAAGCAAAAGCAGGTACTGAATCAATCAGGACAACAACTATCAAACTGGATTACTGTTCAAGATGATAATTATCAAATCATAAATGGGGATACAAATGACTTGGATTCTCCTTATCGTCAGCAACTTCATCCCTTTACCAGTAATACATATGATATAGCCATCATGATCCAAATGGAGGCATCTCTCATATTTGCCATACTAAAGACTGAAATAAACAAGCATGTTACATTATAAATACAAAGCACAAATTATATATAGGGTCAGGTTCAAGGAAAAACCGTAAAAAAATGAAAAACTGAGGAACACTTAAGTAATCATTCATTTGTATGGTATGCACATGTGCATACAAGCAATTTGTAAGTAATTTGTCTGGTATGCACACGTGCATAGAAACCAATAAATAACTTCAATTACTTGTATGCACATGTGCATATCGTACAAATAAACGATTACCAGGGTGTTCCTCAGTTTTTCATTTTATTTGGGGGTTTCCCCTAAACCCCCCCCC